AATGAAATCGATCCTTTCATCAGTAGTGAGGTAATCAGGGACTCTTGGCAGCTCATGAGTCAAGAGGACATGTGGCTCCTTTAAGTCTTGGATTGTCTTGTCAAGTAGGTATTCCAGCCAGCTCCCTGCCAGAAGATAATGTATGTCACGCTGATATGATATCTCAGCACTGCTCAGATGACAACGCATGCAGTGAAGAGCCCTAAAATTTCCTCAGTCTTTAGTGGGGATTATCATTTTAATTTTGAATAACTTTAAAATGCAGCAGGTATCGTCAATCTGTTGGAGTATTTTTCAGATGAATTTGCCTTTTTTCCTTTGTTCTTATCAGCACAATATCTATAATTATTAAATATAATATGTATCAGTAAGAGTAGTTTAGCTTTAAGGGGAGGACTTTAGTCTCCAATCACTCTGATCAAATGTTGTCTGTTTCTCTAAAACCTGGTGTGGATTTTCCCCCAAAAAATCGTTAGCAACACACTGCACCCCAAGTACCACTAGTCTCCAAAAATGAAACTGAAAAAGAAAACAGGAGAGTCAGAGTGGAAATAGCTTCAGGAAATGGAAATAGCTTCAGGAAATAAATGTACAGGTGCACTGAAGGCACTTTTTTTGCATGTTGCACTCCAGAACTATAAGCACTTCAAAGGGAAATCAAAGGGCAGAGATTGTGTCACCCACAAAGGGTGTACCTAATAGAAGGCATTTAAAGGGACCTCTTCCCAGAGGTGGAATAATTATTCCTATCATACAAACCTCTTGCGTCTAAATCCTTTCTGCTGTTCTAAGGTCTGATGAAATTTTTGATTTTTTCCCCCTACCCAACCAGTACTTTATCCTAATTACTGCGGTGTGCCCTGTGAATGGAGAACATGGTCCATGCATAACTGTGCACTAGCAGAAAGAATGAGATAGAAAGACAGAGTGCCATTCACACAAGGACAGTGTAGCCCTCTGAAGGCATTAAAGGCCAGATGTTCAAGTGCTCAGCCCTCAGGCTAGATTTTAAAGAGTTCCCACCATCTAGTAGCCCCCCAGTTTGCAACACTTATAGCCAGATTTTCAAAAGAGTCCAGCACTCAATGCTCTTTTGAAAATCTGGCCATTTATTCTTGCCTAATAGGGAGGCAAGTTGCTTTGAAAATTTGGCTTTGATAGTTGGTGCTGAACTCTGGAAAATCTGACTGCATAAATATAAAAGTATCAAGGATGCTCTGCAGAAATCAAATGGGGATTAAAATAGTTTTTCAAGAATAGACAACCCAATTTCATCCACTGAACTCCAATTGGCTTCTGACGAGCTACTCCTGAGTTACACCGGTATGAGTGAGATCAGAATCAGTCTTATAGTCTTAGTTTCATTAACTTATTTTGAATTAAAAAAGAGAGAGAGAGAAATGAAGCAAGAACAGAAACCTCTGAGTCTCCATCATCCCGTTTGTTGGAAAGTATCTGTCCTGTGGCTGGACTTCCATACATGCTAAACTTCTTAATATAAAATAGAGAAGGGGAACTGTGTTCCCTCTCTGTTCAAGGCCTGTCAAATCTTGTTGCTTAATTATTTCTTATATTTAACTGTCACTAGGATGCATTTCCAAATGTTCAGAGGTTGGCGAAAGCATGCAAAAGTTCATATACTGATCTAAGGTAGCCAAACCTCTTGGGTCTGCAAATCTGGGCTAGAAATTTAATAAGAACAGCCTCTTTCACATGAGCTTTCCGATAGTTCCTCAATAACATCCTGAGAACACATTCACTTCTTGTATTTTGTTACTTCTCTTTCTGGGCCTTACCAGAAACTAGGATGACTAGATAGCAAGTGTGAAAAATTGGGACAGCAGTGTGGGGTAATAGGCACTTATATAAGACAAAGCCCCAAATATCTGGACTGTCCCTATAAAATTGGGACATCTGGTCACCCTACCAGAAACTGGAGTTCTAGAGACAACAGTGAAAATAGAAAATAAGGGGAACCAAATTTATCTAAACTTTTTTGAACAACAGTTTGTTTTGAGTTTTAGGAACAGTGGGAGGAAATTCTTATTTTATACAGAGATGGACCTGAGCCACAAAGTTCCTAGCCAGCCCAGTGTAAGGGTCAATCAAGAAATTTGGATATGGGTTCAGATTTTGAATCTTCCTTCACCCCAGTGTCAGGGATTGTTTGGATGTTTCTAACTTTATGCAACCCTATGTCATAAATACTTAGCACTTCAAATGTGCTTTTTATCCACAGCTCCCTAAATGCTTTACAAAGGTGGGTATGAGTGTTTCCATTTACAGATAGATCCTGCAAATACTTACTATGAAATGAAGTGCTTGGAGCTGTCTCTTGGGCTTCACTAGGACTACCTGCAGTTGAAAGCTCCATGCCCAGTAATAAGTCTTTGAAGGATCGGGCCCTGAATTATTTTTTAGAAATGTTCTTTTGCCATAGATGCTGTAGCCTTATTGCTACCTAAAGAAAAAGATGAGGCTTTCTTTTTTCATTTTCATTTTAAAAGGACATCATCAGATTACTCTAGGCTTAAAATTTAGGTGCATATAAAAAGAGGGCCTTAGAAGGGGTCTCACGATTTTTAAAAAAAAATTAATGAAAACAATTTTTAGTCCAAATGTAAATAATCCCGTGTGGCATTTGAAACCTGAACACAGCAACACTGTTCATGGAAATGACAGTGAAAGTAACCAGGGATCAAAATGAAAGTCTATTTTCCATGACCCACACTGAGTGAAATGCAAAATGTAAAAAGCCGCACAAATATGAAAAATAAATTTAGAATTTTAAAAGTCGCTCTGTTTTAATGAATTAGCATGTTGTTAATAATACCATAAGGATTTTTTAAAATGTATGATATTTAAGTCAACAGTATCCCTTTAAAAAGATAAATGATTTAACAAGTTACTATTCTTTTATCAAAAAATATTACTTTTGGGCAGGGGAGCAAAGAGGGTTAGATACACAACTGTAAAAATTAGGTATTGTAAACATTTTACAACTCAACTGCAATGTGTATTGAATGAGTGATTTTGCCTTCTACAGTCTGGTCTAGGGAAAAGATAAGGGAGGGACTTGCTACTACTTTCAGCTAAGAGGAGGTTTCCTTAGTTCACTGTGATAGAGGTGCTTTTAGTCCCAGTTAGTGTGTGATTGAAAAGATAATTGTGTCTACAGTACACACATTTGTTACACTGTAGGCTTTCTTGGATTAGGAAGTACTGTTAGGCAGGGCCGACTCTGGCTTTTTGGACGCTCCAAGCAAAAAAAAAACCTACAGCACGGCCAGAGCGCGGGTGCAAGGGTAGGGTTACCATATTTTGTGCCTCCAAATGGAGGACACTCCCCGGGGCCCTGGCCCCGCCCCCAGCCCCGCCCACGCCCCCGCCCCAACT